CCTATTTTTGTTGCTCTTGTTATTTCTTGCACATGATCAAGCTAGAACCATGGATAGCTCAGTCCACATTAGGGTCAGGCACAAAGAAAATGGGGGAAGATCCACTTTAGTCTGTCAATTGGCTGTTTCAAGTCTGGGGACTCCTGTCTCCTGACCTGTTCCCCTTCCACCCAAAACAAACCTCACAGACACATCCACCCCTGAGACAGAGCAGGAAACCATCCACCAGGTCCTCCAGAACAGAATACCCCCAGCATACGGCATATGTTCTGGCCACAGATTGCCCTGGTTTCCTCCAAGGAGAAGGAATGAAACAACCCTGTGTCCAAGGCTGAAGTTATGCAGCCCCAAGGAAATCTGCACAACATCTCAGCTAAGGGCCCACAGTATTCTCCACCCCAAACAATGCTAACAGGAATCAGTGGACTGAGCACCCCTCTTCAGAGCTGCCTTCCCCCCACTGGGCCACAAACTCAGCCCCAGGTAAGGGGAGGAGCAGTACAGTGGCAATATCTCCAGATGAGCTAAGACCTCACTGTACCTCAGGCGCCAGGGCCTTCCCAAGTACCCTCTGCTGGCTCTAGGACCCACCTCACCAGACAGGAGCAGCTTTCATATTTGGACTGGTCTGCCCCTCAGGGAAAAGGCAGATCACTCATCATTTAATGCTCCCGAAATACCCTCGCTCGTCACTAATTCCCAAAACCGAACAAGTAAAGCCACCTGTCAAAAAAAAAAAAAAAAAACCCACTCCACTGCCAGCAAATATCACCCTAAAGTACATGGCTGTGGTCATTAAAGAGATTACCCTCTAAAGACAAAGGAGTTGGGGGCACAGAGGGAGCATGGATCAGGCCAGGCTCTCCATCTGGCTCCTGCTCAGCCCCTGGCAGGGAAGATGCAGAGCAACCCCCAGCTGAGTGGAAGCCAAACCCACTCCTGGACCTGAGCACACACCCACCAAAAAAGGCAAGAGGATGACTCCCCCTTACAGAAAGCCCCCAAGTGCTGTGAAATGCAGCTTCCCTGTGATTTTGGTGCCATCTTCTGCTCTCCCCACCCAGTCTCCTTCTGCATTTATTGGAGGACTGAGGCAAGGGCCAAGATTCCGCTTTCTTACAACTGCCAACAGCACCCAGGATATGCCCATTTTTACACAGTCCTCAGTACCCACTGCAAAAACAATTTTGGTGTAGAAATTACAATTCCCATTCATGTTTTCTCAGGCCAGGACCAGAGGGAAGAGAGCTTGGCATCCTACTTTCTCAGTAACCTCCCGCCAGTGCTGACTCTGAAGCTGAACCCTGGCCCCAGCCCCTACCTCCACCCAGATCAGCTCCAAATCGCTCACCATCTGTCTCTGCAGCATCCACCCCATGTGCCTTCAGAAGCCCAGCCTCTGGGGACTGAGCACGAAGTGGGGCACTCTGACATAGGAAGGCAGCCAGCCCTGGCCAGATGCCAGAAAGCTGCCTAGGGAAAGCAGGAACCCCGCTGTCTGCCTGGGAGCCTGGGAGCCTGGGAGCCTGGTTCCCGAGGATATGTGGAACACAAGGGATGGACAGGATTGGGCTGAACAGACCCATCCCCAGTCACTGATGACTTTGAGAAAGACTAGTAAGTCACAGCAGGAGACAGGAGCCCCTGGTAACCCTCCACTGCCTGCTAGGCTACCTACCCAACCATACCCTGGCTGACCTTGAACGGATTATGTAAGCTCCACTCCAGCTGAGGAATGAAAATCCAGCCCATACTGGAAGCTGGAAGGGTAGAGATAGTATATCGTCTAGCATGGCCTGCATAACACTTACATAACCTCTGCCTTGGGGAACACGGCTTCCTTGACTCATCAGTTGCCTGGCAGTGACGCTGCTCTGTTCCTAGCACCCCCAACACTCCCACAGTGCACACCTACCCCCAAATCATACCTTGAACTCAAAGCATCCCAGAGCCTGTCATGCCTAAATTTATCCAAAATATGTAAAAAGCTATGTGTCAAAGATGACAAGCCCTGGCACGTAGCAGATATTCAATATAAATGCCTGTTTAATGCGTAAATGTGCAAGGAGCAAGAAAGTATTTTTATAGTAGGAGGAAAAAAAAATAGAAACTTAGTAACCGACAAGAGGGTCTAAGTAAATGACAATGTAGCCAGGCAGCAGGCTCTCCCTCTACAGGGAAGGTGCAAGGCGACCAGGGAGAGGGGGTGGAGAGACCCACATCCAGCACCCTCCACCCCCACCGTGGCCTAAGGGGAGCTCCACTCGGGCTGAGGAGACCCAGTGCCTTCAGAAGGGATCACTGCCACTTCTGACCTCAGAACATTCTAATAGCCTCAGGGAGCCGCTTTTAAAGTGAATGACACATCTGTGTTTGAGAGGCTCACTCAACAAACTGGCAAAAACATATATGAAAACATCCACTGTTGGTGTGGAAAATGGTGAGTCCTGCTCACGCCAAGTGTTAAGTACTCTGTACAGGACAGTCCCTTTGGAGACAGGGGCTGGCCAGTGCCTAAGTGGGCATACGTTAACCTAGTGGCAATTCAACCATGAGGAACCCACCCAAGGCACCCAAAGACGGGTGCATGAGGGTGCTCACGGCAGCATGATTGACAACACACAAGCCAAAAGCAATGTAAATGGCCAACAGGGAAATGAATGAATAAAATCAGAGGGCTTGCAAACTAAGGAGTATCACGTGGTAATCAAAAAGAATGAGATGGGTTTATGCTTGGTGGCAAAGAAAGCTATGTTTGATACGCAGCTGACCCTTGCACAACACAGATTTGAACAAATCTACTTTTATGTGGATTTTTTTCAACAAATACAGTGTAGTACTTACTGTAAGTGTATTTTTTCTTTCTTACAGTTTTCTTAATATTTTTTCTCTAGCTTAGTCTACTGTAATATAATATATATAACATACAAAATATGTGCTAATTGACTATATATTACCTGTAAGGCTTCTGGTCAACAGTAGGCTATTAGTAGCTAAATCTGGAAGGAGTCAAAAGTCGTACAAGGATTTTCGACTGACCCCATGCTGCTCAAGGGCCAGCTGTAGTTAAATGAAAAAAATAAGTCACAATGTGTAATTCCATGTTACTAGAGGAAAACCCTTTCACATACATGTTCATATGTTCACACATTTGCATATGATGGAAAAGCTGTAAGCCCATCTGTAAGTTGTGGCTGCCTGGGAGCTGCTTGGAAAGGAAAAGGGGCTTAAGGAAGGAGTGGAGTTAAAATAGGATTTTCAGTGTTTGTTCCGCTTCATTATTTAAGTTGTTGGTATATATTGGTAATTTTTTTAAGAACAGAAAACTAAAAAACCCAACCAGTGTGTGTGAAATTGAGCTATGCTGTCTTCAGGATACTGCAATAAACCACATTCTAAAAGGCAATTGCAGTGCAGGTGCCAAAAGGAAAAGCCATGTGGAAAGTTATCTATCCCGGTTCCAAGAACAGATTCAAACTACACTGAGATGGCAGGGTTAACAGGCAAGGCCTATCAGGGGCACATTCTACTCCCAGGTGACCACCTGGGGCTCAGGCCACCCTTATCAGGAGGCAGAAGTAAGACAGAATTCCCTAACTTTAGCGTACCTGAGAATGGCCTGAGCTAGCTGTTCCAAAGCCTTCTTCCCTCCCTCTCCGCCCTTCCTAGCCTAACTTAACAGGTAGCACAGCACTTTCATCGGCAGAGGCAGAAGAATCCAGGTACCCTCAGAGAGGGGACAACCACTGCAGCGGCTGACACAGGGAACAGGGTAGCATTCAGCTCAGTCAGGAAAGTCTTCTGCGCAAGGTTAGTGTGTTGAGAGACACCATCTTCGAGAGCAAGGGTACAAGAGGGCTAGGACCTAAACAGCAGGAGCCACCCTGCCATGGCATTTCCCAGCCCATTCGGGTGCCCAGGCAGCAAGGTCCAGTGACTGCTAGAAGGAGCTATGAGACTGGCGGGGCTTCTACCAGCACCAGCCTCTACCAGCTGTGTAACTTTGGACAAGACTTTGATAAACTTATATTCCCAGGGTCTCATTTTGCTCATCTGTAAATGGGGCTAACAACAATGCCTTTCTACCAGAATTACTGCAAAGATGAAGTAAGGTAGGCAGGCAGGACATGTAGGAATGTCTGGCACACAGTGAGTGCTCCATAAACAGCAGTGCTAATCATAATCCATTATTCTGCAATTCTTTTTTTTTTTTATATTTTATTTATTCATTTGTCAGAGAGAGAGAGAGAGAGAGCGTGTGCACAAACATGGAGAACAGCAGGCAGAGGGAGAAGCAGACCCTCCTGAGCAAGAAGCCCGATGCAGGACTCCATGCCAACACCCCAGGATCATGACCCGAGCTGAAAGCAGATGCACTTAACTGACTGAGCCACCCAGGTGTCCCCATTCTGGATAGTCTTTGTTTGCTCCTCCAGATCCACTTTCCAGCTCCATCCTGTTCTATGCCTCAAGAGCTAATCATTATGGACTGCTATCACAGGATGGTTGGTTTTCGCCAACAGGAGGCACCAGAAGAAGATGGGAGAGAGAGGCTGGGGTATTCATTCCCCAAGCTCCCTCCCTACTGGCCTCAGGTGGGCTCGGATTACTTTCCAAGGCCACAGCTCCTGCCAAGGGGCCCCGTCCAGGTTCCAAAGGACCCAGAGTAGGGGGTGGGTGGGACACACATCACTTGTCAGGTGCTCCACACCCTCCTCACACCTTTGCAAATGATCCCTTCATTATGCTTTCTTTGATTACCGCACATAAGTTTGCACCTGATCCCTGCAAGGACCCTGACCAACACAGCAATCACTTCCATCACCATCACCATCCTGAATTTCCCTCAGAAAAGGAAAACTGCAGGAAAGCCTTTGGCTCTGCTGTTTCTCTTAACAGCATTAGAGGTGGTTTGTCCAAGCAGAACTGGGCCAGCTTATAGAAGGAGCATCACACCAGCCAGGGATTCCAATAAAAGCACCTCCCCCTATGTCTGGGGACCAGGAAAAGCAAGTTCCCCAGTAGGAGGCCAGCCCAGCTCTGAAAGCCAATATATTGGGCCAACACCATCAGAAGCCTCCCCACACACCCCCATCTCATACACACTCTCTCACGATAAAGGCAGCCTCTGGTTAGGTCTACAGGGGGCTGGCAAAGCCAACGTCCTGCACTCTGGGTAGCAAGTCTGTGTTCCCAGTGCAGCTGTCCTTCCCTCCCACTCCACGACAGTCTCACACTGGGCAGCCCAGCTTCCTAGGCAGTTGCTTCTATTTTAAAACACTCTGGGAGGTAGGCCACCCCAGCAAAGCCTTCCATAAGAAGCTTCAAGACAATGTAACTGACTTGGGGACACCCTGCTTGCCTCTCCACCCATCAAGGGAAGAAAGGCCTGAGCTGGCAGGCAACATGCCAAGTCTGAGTCCCAGGTGCACCCAGGGCTCCTGCCTGGCCTCAGACTCCTCAAGTTCCCTGGAGCCTTGCTACCTGGCTTGACCTAGTGGGGTTAAAATAGACAGTGCTGGGGCGCTTGGGTGGCTCAGTGGGTTAAGCCTCTGCCTTCAGCTCGGGTCATGATCTCAGAGACCTGGGATCGAGCCCCACATCGGGCTCTCTGCTCAGCAGGGAGCCTTCTTCCCTCTCTCTCTCTCTGCCTGCCTCTCTGCCTACTTGTGATCTCTCTCACTGTCAAATAAATAAATAAGATCTTTAAAAAAAAAAAAATAGTGCTTGGGCAGATATATTTGGGAGTCAAGCAGCCCTGAGTTCCAATATCACTCCACAGCTCTCTAGATATGTAACCTGGGCAAGACAAGTCTCACTTTTCTTCAGCTCTAGTATGGGGAAGGAGTACCTGTCTCAGCATCGCTGTGAGAAATGAATTAGATTATTAACATAAAACACTTACTACAGTAAATGGTACCTGGGAGGTATGCAACAACCACAGATAGTGTTTTGTTAGAGGTTTGCATTTTATAGATTTCCTAGTATAATTACAGGTGCTATGCAAGTTATCAAAAGGTCAACCTCAACCACAGGGTCCAAAGTCCTCCCTGACGACAATGAGGTACTATTTAGCTGAATATTCTCCACGTAGGTCCTAGAATGCCTCCTACCTCATTCCAGGAAAAACTAACCTTTCTCCTAATTCGCCCAGGGTCATCGTCTTTGCAACTCCACGGACTGCAATCCGCTGACAGCGAGCTAGCCTACACCCAGCCATACACAGGTTCACTCGGATCAGTGTGAAAGAACACTCCCCTGCTGGACAGCAGAGTCTACCTTTCACATCTATTAGCTCATCGCAGGGCCCTTTGGTGTGGCAACCTCAGTGTGAATCTGCCAGCCCTGGTCCCAACTCTGCAAGCCTCCTGACCCACGAAAAGGAAGCAATGGTACCTCTCTCCCAAGGCTTGTAGGATGGTGGATTCAATGTCACAGAACATATGTGAATTCCCCGGGGGGGTGCTGAGCAGGCTCTCTAGTAAGAACGACTGTTTTGATGATGATGATGACACAGTGGAGAAACTGAGGAATAAGACAGCAACCTGACCTGTACTAGATCAAACGGCTCATGTCAGAGCCAAGCTGTGAACGCAATCTGCTCTCCAAGCCTCTCTCCAGCACAGTTTTGGGTAAAGGGCATGGATACCCAATCACCCACACCCCCTGAGGGCAGGCAGTCAAAAGGAGGAAGGTGCCCAGGCCCAGCAGAGGATCCCACTGGTCACATTTCCTCAGTGGCTATCAGAGGAGTCTGGAGGAACTCCAAGGCCACAGACCCTCTGAGGGCCCTGAGGGGCTACCTGCAGGCTTGGGCTGGCTCTCAACCACACACAGGCTTCTCTCAGTCACCACCAACAAAGACGTCAGGCCATGAGAAATTCCACCAAGGACAGAGTGAACTGCAGTGTCTTGGGAGCATCTTACAGGTAAACGTGGGGGTTAATGTCCCTCCTTACCACCAGCTTGAAGGGTACTGCCCACATCTGCCTAGTACCCATCAGGACCAGCAGCCCACAGGCAACTCCTTACTATAGGGTCCCCCAAAGCCACTGTGTTTGTCTACAGATAGCTCCTGCTTATAGCACAGAATACAGAAATAAAACTAAGTAACCAACTGAGAGCAGGGTTGAGCATTTTACTCTGGACAACTCCAGCAGAAGTTACCAACCCACCCACCATCAGAAAGGGGGCAAAGCGGGGTGCCTGGGTGACTCAGTGGGTTAAGCCTCTGCCTTCGGCTCAGGTCATGATCTCAGGGTCCTGGGATCGAGCACCGTATCAGGCTCTCTGCTCAACAGGGTGAGCACCTGCCTCTCTGCCTACTTGTGATCTCTTGCTCTGTCAAATAAATAAAATCTTAAAATCTTAAAAAAATAAAAAAAGGAAAAAAAAAAAAAAAAGAAAGAAAGAGGGCAAAGCAACCAGGCCCAAAACCTTAGGAGAATCCCATTCACCTGGGTCACCCTCCCCTGCAGGCCTAGAAACACCAGTTCTACAGGTTTCCCACAGGACATGAAAAGTCACAGAATGAAGGTGACATGTTTAAAACAGTTATTTCAAATTAGGAAACAGTTTCACCTCTCAGCACTCTAGGGCTGTACATTCCACTGCAGGTCTTAAAACACGTGTGACCCTGCTAAGCAAGGCTATTTTCTAGAAGTGAACGAGATGTGCATGTCCCTTGGAAAGGTTGTCCAAGATCAAGAGACTATGGTCAGGGCCTGCAGCCACGACATATGCCTGTTCAATAATTTCAGAAATACTTAATGAGCACCTACTATAAGCCATGTGCTGCAATGCTAAAAACTATCCTCCTATCAGGAAGGGTGAGCTGCCTCTCAAGAGTGCATCTACCCCCATCGACTCTTCTCAAATCTACTGTGCGCCAAGTGGCACCACCCCAGGCACTGAAAACAAAGCTGCATAGGGCTTAAGCCGAACCCCGTAGAACTCGGTCCACAGCCGGGGTGGAGAAACAAGGCTAGTCCTGGGCAGTTTGCCCTGGCCTTGCCAACCGAGTATTAGGCAAAGGAGGGGTCCATTCTCTATCTCTCCACAGAGGTGAGGCTGGTCAAGGGCTAGGCTTCCCTCAGATCTGCACCCACATGCAACTTCCTGCTTCAGCCTGACCTTGTCTGTCTATAAACTTACAGGATTTTTCATGAATTATCCTGAAAGTTACTCAATGCCTGGCACATAAATGCTTAGTAATGATGTTTAAAATAACAGGGGCTGGCTATGTTTATTGAACCCTTTCCAGAACACCACGTGGAGTTAAAATGGTCTGCAGAGGATGGGATAAATCCTCCCGAAAAGCCTCAAGGCTGTCAAGGTTTCTATCTAAGGCTCTGCGCTAAGCAACTCATTTCATTCTTCCCAAAAACCCAACGAAGGAGAGCTATAATTGCTCCTATGCCACAGATGAGAAAACCCAGGCCTGGTATCGTCCCAGCGGCGTGACCTTGGACCAGTCACTAGGACTGCAGCTCTGAAATCCAAGGGCTCTTAACCAGTTCGTGAAAGCACCGCCGCACTCGGTGAATGAATGGGCAAACGAACCAGGAATCCCTCCTAAGGCCAAGGAGGCCACAACCGCTCCCCACGGGGCGTCCTCTCCCGAGGCCTAGCCTAATGCCCTGGCCCCAGAGGCCTAAGTCGACTCTCAGCCTCCGGTACCGCCCGGTAAGGAGCTGGCACCGGCGGACAAGTGCTGGACGCCAGCTTCTCTGGGCGTGGACCAGACACGCCGGACACGGAGCGAAGGGCCACGGTCGTCACAGGAACTCATCCCCGCGGCGACAGCATGGCCCGCACAGGTCCGTGGGCCGAGCCCGGCGAGCGTGGGTGGAAGGCGGTCCCCCTCCCGACCCGCGCTGTTGGGATCCAGGGCCAGAGGGCGCCGCCGGGAAAGGTCACCTAGACTTGGAGCCGGCCTGGCCTTCCCGCGGCGGCCCGTGCCCTTCCGCCCGCAGGTTCCCGCAGGTCCCCGCAGGCTCCAGTCCCAGCCGAAGGCGCCCCCGGACGTCCGGCCTCCCGCTCCCCGGCCCCGGCCCGCTTGCCTCCGGCCCGCGCGGCCTGCTGTGCCCGCCGCGGACCCGCCAGGCCCGCGCCGGGCGCCCGGGCTCCTTCCCTAGGGCCTGGCCCTCGGCCCCTCGCCCACGCCCGCTCCTCCCCCCGCCGCCTCCGCGTCAGCTCCCCGGGGCCAGGCCCGCGACCCCCGGCGCCCGCAAAGCGCCAGCCGCTCTCCGAGGAGCCTACCTCAACGGCGGCGGCGGCTGGCTCAGCGGCTGCTACCGCGGGGGCTGCAGTGAGAGGAACGAAGCGAGCGGGCCGAGGGCGGGACGGCGCGGACAGCGGCGGCGCGGACCCGCCCCGACCCTACGCGCCCCGACCGGCGAGCTCCGCCCCTGAGCCCGCCCCGGACACCGCCCAGGCCTGGGCCCGGGTCCCCAGGTCCTGCGGGCTCGCGCCCTTACCTTCCTGCGCCTTCAGTGCCCGCCACGGATGCGTGTGCGCACGGGGTATGCGGGCACGCGTGAGAGCTGCGTGCGCCCGGGCACGGGAATGAGGCGGCGTGAGGGCTGACGTGCGCAAGATGTGTGCGTGCGCGGGGACACGCGTCCCGGCCGCCCATGCGGGCGGGTCTCGGCTGGAACTCCGCGGGGTTGAAGCCTGCGTGGAGGGAGGAGGGTCTTCCGGTTCGCTAAGCGGTGGCCGGAGGCGGGGACCTGTGCCAAAAGGAGACGCGCGGGATCCTGGGCCCACATCCCGACCTTGAGGCTGGGAGACAATCGCTTTCCCCCGGGAAATGATGCGGCGATGCTGGACCAGCGTCTAGCCCGGGTGGCCTCCGGGACCCCCGGGACTCCCACCCTGGCAAAAGCCCGCAAGCGGTGTTAAATCGGGCTCCTGGGGGGCAGTTCCAGGCCCGGCTGGGGACCTGGGCGCCCAAGGCGGCGGGGATACGGAGGAGCGGCCACAGCTCCCGGCTCCCGGCTTCGGAGGATTGTTGCTGCACCTCTGACCCCAGGCTCTCCGAGACCTAGGGCGGCCGAGGGCGAAGCGCTGAGAAAACTCCCCTGTGCGCCGAGCTCGCGCTCCAGTTTAGCAGACACTTTTTCCCTGGAACGAAACTGCTAGTAGCCATTTTCCCAGCATTTTGAGAAGTGAAAAGAGTAAATTGCGTTTCGCCAGAATGTCTCCTGCTGAGTCTCACAGCGCGCAGAGGTCATGCAGGTTCTGGCCAGCCGAGGGCCCCTCGGGGGAGGAAATCAGCGTCCAGCAGGGGCCTGCCTCCCGCCGAGCTCGGGTGGAGTGTGGCGGCTCCCTGCTAGGCCTGAGCGGGTGGTCTCCTTCACCAAGAATTACCACTGAGTGTTCCCAGAATGAATCCCTTCGTAACTTGATGAAGATTCCGCGCGTCTTTCGCCTCAGCCAACAAACGTTCTCCAAGGCTTGAGGCGTCTGGGGCCCGGGTGGAGGAGGCGCTGGGTTATGAAATCGGGACACTCGTTCACAACCAGCTCTGGCACAAATTCAAGAAGTAGGCAAGTGGGGCGTGGGCAGACGCAGTCAGGACAGGCTTCTGGAAAGAGATGGCAGCTTAAATGGGAAAGGGCAACTGGGGTTCCAGTGGGGGTGGGATGTTGAGGACGAAGGGCACTAGGTTATGGGTGGGGGTGGTGACACGGTGTGCTGGGCTCTATAGAGAGCTGAAGTCTGATTGGAATTGGGAGCAAGCACAGCTAAACCTCTTGAGGTCCTGGAGCGTGGAGGACGGATGCTCGCACTCTCCCCAGGCCCGTAAGCGGCTTCATAGCGGACTAGGGGACTCAGGGCTTCCTCATCCCCACTTAGCACACAGGGGCCCTGGCACACTCCTGGAGAAAGTGTGGCAAGGAAAGCCACTGGTTACCCATGAGTGCAGTTCAGCGGACTTTGGGAGGACAGGACCTCAGGGAGGCAGGACGGAACCAGATGGCTCTACGGGAACATGGGGTTCTGGAAACCTCACATGAGCGAGAAGCAGATTCCTCACCCTGTGCCAGTGAAGCGCAGGTGTGATGCCCAGACCAAATGTCCGAGGGGCTCCTCCTCTGCACCACTCCTTGCCAAACCCTCTTTCAGGACCCTGAGCATGGGAAGAGTTCCCTCTGCCCCACCTGTTGTGGGTTCCTTCTGGGGCTTCCCTAGGTGCTGCTTTCAGATTAATCACGAGGGAGTTCCCTTTGACTCACTGGTTGTGTGACCCTGGGCAACAGGGCTAACCGCTCAGCTTCAACTTAAGAGGGCTGTGGCAAGTTTAAAATGGAAGACAATGCAAGTAAGTGCTCAGAAAACAGTGAAGAACCCTGGTGGGACATGGAATCCTCAGACCCTAGTGTTGACTTATCCCCACCACAGCCCCCAGGGAACAACTGAATAAGGCCTCCTGACTTGCCAGGCTTAGCACCCCCACCCCCAGCCCCACCTTCACTCTGTCTACCAGGGCTTTGGGCCCGGGGTGGCCGCTGACTCAAGACCAGCCAATCAGATCCTCTCTTGTAATTATGAACTAACAAACCCAGATCAGGTATAACCCCTTTTCTTTGGAGGGAATGACCCTTTTCCCTCAGTCCTCAAGCTTTGATGGAACTGACTCCATCGGCTACCGGGTTGGACCAATGCCCCATCCAGACTTCCAGGGGCTTTTAAAATAAAGATTTGCCCTAAGAGTGAAGCCAACCAATGAAAGAGAGATGGAGACCAGATCCTGGGAACATCACAAGATAAACACAATAAAAAATTTTCTCTTGCGTATCCAAAACCATGAGGTTCCTAGGTTTAAAGCAGTTCCAAGAAGTTTCAACATCATACCCATGGTTTTTAAAAAATTATATATACAGACACACAGAAATACCGGAAGGAAATTTATTCAGTATTAATAATGAAAGTTGTGTTTCAATTTATGGGACTTTATGATTCTTTTTTTTTTTTTTCTTTAATTTATTTGACAGACAGAGATCACAAGTAGTCAGAGACGCAGGGCGCTGAGCAAAGAGCCATGCAGGGCTCAATCCCAGGACCCTGGGATCACGACCTGAGCCAAAGGCAAAGGCTTTAACACACTGAGCCACCCAGACACCCTGAGACTTTGTGATTCTTTTTTTTTTTTAAGATTTTATTTATTTATTTGACAGAGATTACAAGTAGGCAGAGAGGCAGGTAGTGAGAGAGAGGGAAGCAGACTCCTTGCCGAGCAGAGAGCCCAATGTGGGGCTCGAACCCAGGACCCTGGGATCATGACCTGAGCTGAAGGCAGAGGCTTTAACCCACTGAGCCACCCAGGTGCCCCGAGACTTTGTGATTCTTGACTATGAGTCGTGAGTTTGAGCCCCACGTTGGGTAGAGAAATTACTAAAAAATAAATATATAAATAAACAAACAAACTAAAAAAATCAATTTATGGGGGCACCTGGGTGGCATTGAAACTTTCATGCACTGCTCAAAGGTCTGGGACTTAAGGGAGAATTTCCCAATTTCTGCACCATAGCCTCTGCTAACAGACAAAACATTATTTGAAAAGCGGGCAAGGTCAGATGGAGTTAAAATGGCCTGGTTTCCAGTACCAAGCCAGTAGGGCTGCCCCAAAGGGGCTTGCTTCCAGACACTGTCTGTCCAAGTTTGCCATGTTGGGTCCTGGGGCTTACACACACCACAAGCACGGGGCCGGGGTGATGGGTGGAGCTAAGATCCCGTCCAGATGGGGCTCATGTAACCTTGGGTCCTTACAGGGTTGTGTCAGCCCCAAGGAAGCAATTATGTTTCTGCTTCCGGGTGCCTTTTCCTAGTCTGTGTGGAGGCATCACGTGGCAGCTGGGGCACACGTGCCCTACACCAGGCACGCTCTTCCCCTGTCTTTCCCGAAGCTGCTTCCTTTCTCGTTCTCAACTAACACATGGAACCTCCTCAAAGCTGCCTTTTCCTGCTGTGCAATCTAAAGCAGTTTCTTTTCCCCACTCTGTACTTACTCTGAGACCAACCCTTTGTTTCTTTAATAGCTTGGAACTCACTTTAAAATTCTTTCACAGTCGGTTTGCTCTTGATTCTCCTATCTCCTCAGAATGCTGTTCACATCGCAGGTGTTCAGTAAGACATCTAAATAGACAGTGAGTGGCGCATAGCACAAAGACAGGTGACCCACCTGGAGTGGCTCACTCCTCCCTCTGGGAAGGTGGCACACTCTGGGGACAGTTGTTCTCAGTCTTCCTGGCCAGACAGCTAGGAATCGTGCCCATGGGTTGTCAATCATCTAGGAAGAATGGCCTCGAAGACTTGCTGTGGGCAGGGGGGGCTGTTTAATCTCTCTGCGTGATAAAGAATGTAACCTCACCTCATTCTAAGAGAGGTCTGGAACTGGCCCTTAGCTTCTGGAATCTGGAACTGGCCCTTAGCTTCTGGAAAATAATATCTGAGCCCTTGCAAGATCATGACAGATAGGAGTATCTTCGTTTAGGATGAGGGCTGGCCACACAGGATAAGCTAACAATGTGATTTAGGGTGGGGGCTTTGAGTCACACAGTAGCAGCTGGACCTCCAGAGGTACTGGAAGCTGATGTCAGCTACGTGGAAAATTGACAATGGATCCCCAGTAAATCTCTGGTCCCCCAGGCTTGAGTGCACTTCCTGAGTTGGCAATCTTCCAGAACCATAACCGTGAGTATAAAAGCCCTCAGTGAGTTCTGCAAGTCCTTCTAGTACATTATTACATGTAAAGTGATCTTGGAGACACTGAAACTTGTAATTGGTGTCAGGGGAATGGTTCTGTGGACTATACTCCCTCTCTTGTAGCCCTTCCCCTAAGCCAACCCCCACCCCCAGTCACAAACAGCCAGACACACATACACTCTGTGGGAAGAGGACTGGCTTCTCCTGATTTCTCCTGGCTGACCAAGGTCTTCTCTCAGACCCAGCATCTGCCCTAGCTGAGACCACAGTGCCTGCTGGTTCTTCTTCCCCAAGGCCCTCCAAGGGGCTCCAAGAGAGTAGTTACTTCTTCACTGGCCCCACCAACAGTGACTCCCCTTCTGTCCTGGCTAGTGGGTGGGACCTTCTGGCTGATGGGGGTAGTTGACAGGTAGGCAGGCAACAAATCAGCAGCCAGGTTGGCTACGGAGCCAAAGGGTTCCTGCCATCACCAACCCCCCTCCAGTCTCTTGTGCCCTGACTCCCCCGCCCCATGACCTACTGTAGTCTTTGCTGGAGGAAACATTGTGGGGGTTGGGCTGACCATCAGGGTTTTCTTTGCAAATGCCATAGCTTTCCTTTTTAAATTTTTTTGGTAAAGATTTTATTTATTTACCTGACAGAGAGAGAGAGAGAGAGTACAAGCAGGAGGAGCAGCAGAGGGAGAGAGGGAGAAGCAGGCTCTCCACCAAGCAGGGAAGCCGACACGGGACTCAACCCCAGGACCCTGGGACCATGACCTAAGCCAAAGTCAGACACTTAACAGACTGAGCCACCCGTGTGCCCCTGCCATAGCTTTCCTAAAACTAGTTAGGTCTCTCCTTCCTCTAATGCCCACCATCTCCTCCAGCTGCCCAGGTGGAGACCACGGAGCCGGAGACATAGACAGCCCTTCCTGCCAGCGCCAACACAGGGAGCAGCAGCCTCAGATGCCTCTCGAGGTTCAGAAGTTTCAGGTTCAAATCTAAACTTAGCAGCCCTGATGCCATGGCATTACAAAACAAGTTCTTCCATGACTCTTACGTAAGCAGATTAAGCCCTTTCACCCTTCCTTTCCCTCCCCAGTTCCTCCTCAACCCTGGGGAAATACTGGCTTCCCATTAACTAACTGTACCAAGGACCCTACTCTTCTTTCTTTAAGCTCCAGATACAAACCTCCTAATTCCACCCCTGTAAATCTGCAGAAGGAGAAACCCAGTTTTGCTTCCTTTCTGTCTGCTATGGTTTAAGCATTGTCCTGCCCAACCACAGGGGATTGGACCATATGATCTCTCCATGACCCTGAGCATCAGGTTCCTCAAAAGGGAAGGAAACACACCTTATTTTCCAGAAATTATGGAATAGACTGCTGGTTTACAAAGCCTTCTGAGAGAAACAAATAAATACACCTACCAAAGACTTAATAGACACAGGTGGTTTACAGGAAAACCTAGCCCCCAGAAACACAAACTTAGAACACAGAAAAGGAAAGCAATGTTTCTGAAACTGTGGTTCACATGAGAATTACCTGGAGGGCAACTGGTACAGCAGGTGGTGGGGTCTCCCCACTCAAGGTGCTCCATTAATATTTTGGGGGTGGGTCCCCCACCTGCATTTTTCAGAAGTACCCCCGGTGGTCCTCAGAGAAATGCTGTGACTTTACATAGCCTCACAGTGAGAAATTTGGCATGTGGCTGCTCCAGATGGGGGGTTAGAATGGCAATTCAGAACATTTAAAAAAAATTTTTAAAGATTTATTTATTAGCAAGAGAGGGAGAGAGGGGGAAAGAGAGAGAGCAAGAGAGGAGCAGAGGCAGAGGGACAAGCAGATTCCTCACTGAGCACAGAGCCAGACATGGGGCTCCATCCCAGGACTGTGAAAACATGACCAAGCTGAAATCAATAGTCCATTGTTAAACCAAATGAGACCCCTCAGAACATCTTTATTTACAGCCCTCTTCTTCAAGATTTGGCATCTGTGTGTTATAAATTGAGATGATTCCCTAGGAAGATGCCTCACTTTTTGCCCTGCAGCCTGTCCCTCCACTCAGAGTTCATTCACCCAGCCAAAATTCATCATGGGTTCCTATTTTCCAGACACTGCCCTAAGAAGTAGCAATGTAAAATAATGGTGGGTATTTCTTTGTGGAAAAGATAGACTTTGCTCAAATCACTATACAAATCTACGTGTAATGATGAACTTCGGTAAGTGCTATGGAAGAAAGTTTCTCTGGAACATTCATTCATTCAACAAATATATACTGAGTTCCTACAATGGGCCAAGTGCTCTTAGAGATATTGAGGACTTAACAATGAACTAAACAAACATAGTCCTTCCTCTCTTGCGGTTTACTGTGCAGTGGGCAAGACTAAAAGTTAACACTAAGTATGAACTATAATGTCAAGTACTGATAAAGGTCCAGTAGAAAATTAAGGCAGTGTAAGGGTAGCAGCAATGAAGGGAGGGTCTACTCAGGACAGTCAGGGAAAGCCTGACAGGAGGCTTTTTAGCAGAAATGAAGTGAGTAAGTGAATCTTTAATGGAAAATGGTTGTCTGCAAAGATGGCAGCCAGTTCTTCCCAACCATCAAGAGTCTCTCACCAAGAGGTGGAGTCTACTTCCCCTCCTATAAAAACTTGGCCGGCCTTGGGTCCTCCTCTATCAACAGACTGTCCTGGAAGGAACAGTGTGCCAGTTCTAAGCCTAGGCTTTAGAGGCCAAGGAACTTCCCTTCTTTGTCTTTTGTATCCCCAGTCCCCCAGACACATTCAACGTTCCTTGCAGGAGAGAGACGCCGGGCTACATCCCCACCCCCATCCTCAACCCGAGGTAGTAGATATGTGAGTGTAGCCATCTAGAACATTCCTGCCCTGGCCAAGCTTCCAGCTCAATGCAGCCACAGGTGTCTGACTTCAGGCAACACTGCATGGAATAGAAGAGTCCAACAAAGCCACTGCACTGGCCTAGGCTTGGGATGAGGGAGCCTCAGACAATGGTGAAAACAGCAGTGGAGGTGGGAGGGTAGACGAAGTAGAAGTAGACTCACAGAGGAAGCAAAGCCTGTAGGACTCACTGACGGAGGTGATGTTTCTGGCTGTGTAACTAGGGCTGGTGCTGTCCCTATGGAGCTGGGGGTGCAAAGAAGGGGCAGGTGTACCAGAAGATGGTAAATTTGGGTTTGGCCATTAGAGGTGCCAACCTCCTGCCCTCTCCCCTGTCAGTCCTCACTCCCCCACCCCCCTTTACCTCCACAAGGGTAGCCTGTGAGAGGGGGCTGCCTCTGGGATCACCAGCAGTCTGGCCAAGGGGAATGGCTGAGGAACAAGAAGCTGTGGGCATGACCCCATGTCAAAGGGTCCCTGTCCTGATATAAACCCTTGAGGACCAAGCCCAAAGCAGAGGATTTCTAAGGAGGAGGGATCATAGTGTCTGCAGGAAAAGGAAGAGAGAAATAAATACGTTTTTTGACACACACATCATTAAACACTTGACCAAATTGATAGGAAAATGTCCTGTTCCCCTGGCTCCCCTGGTTGCTGCACACCCTGGCTGGCCTTATTTGGGGTTTCCCTGGCCCATCCTTAAGGAGAAGCCCTTCATGGCCAGCCGTGCTGCCGGCCCTCCTGCCAAGCAAGCGGCCTCATTGTCCCCATGGTCTGGATTGCCATGGGTGCACTCCCAACCATCTACCAACAGGTGGCAGCACACACCATACCTGTCGCCCCACCGGTCTGAAGAACACGTTCTGAAGAGAGCAGTTCCTATGTGAGACAGGCCTCAGTGTCCCTCTTTTACAACCCCAGTTCATCTTCATGGAAAAATTTCAGACTCACTAGGGTGCTGGACTGGTTTTCTGACCCAACTCCGTGGGCAGTCCGAGGGGGCATTTGGCAACATCTGGTATTTTTAATTGTCACAACAGGGGAGGATGTGGTATTGACCTCCAAGGGACAGGGATGCCGCTAAACATCTTACACAGGACAGCCCCCCCCAACAAAGAAGTATCTAACCCAAAACATAAGCAATCCCAAGGTTGAGAAACACTGATTTAATCAGATTCTCAAGCATTGGCCCATGCAGTCTTAGATTCTTAGACATCTCTAGGACTTTTAAACATCAGGGCCCACTGCTCTAGGCTGATCCAAGCCTCCCCTCCCTCAACCAGCCACGAACTCTCCCTCCTGCACCTGCAGCATCTTCCTCCTCCTTCCTTCAGACCTCACCTCATTCATACCTCAATTAACAATTCCTGGGCAACAAGCATGTCCAAGGCACTGTGCTTACAAACACAGACACAGTCCCTTCCTCTCTTAAGGGAACCCACAGGCTGCAGAGAGAGACATTTGCAAATGTGACAAGTGCTATATGGGCACAAACAAGGCACTAAAATACCGAATAATACAGAGAAGAACAGCTTTAACCAAGAAGTCTGAAAGGTCTCTGAAAAGGTGACAGCTGAGCTAAGGTCTGCAGAAAGAATGGCCCTCTTTTATCAAAGAGACAAGAAAACCAACAGTAATATGCATTTCTTTGAAGTGTTCCCAGTCCTCTCACCACCCACCTACATAACTGCAACTCTGTTCTTTTTTGTATAACAAATGCATTCCCAGGCCTTTTCCATGTCTTGCTACAGCCTTTCAGCCATCCTTCAAGTGTGTGATATACACTTGAGATATATACGTATATTGTATCCTATCTTTCCCTGTTTTTTTATATGGTTTGGTGATGATCGTTTGTAACAGGCTCAATGTTACATGGAGAATTTTCTAAATGGTTCCCCAGTTGTTCATGTATACCATGGTAAGGGACATCCATATAATTAAATAAATCTTCAGGAATCATGCTTAGCTCACCGATTCCATTGGCTTGGAGTCACTCTTCCTTCACTTGCCTCCTGTGTCTACTGAAGTAGGTGAGATGACCACCATTTTGGGGGTAAGGGTCCTTGAGGCCAGGCAAGTCTGTGACAGCATATCAGGGTCATCAGGGAATAAACTATGGATTCCTAGGCCCTGCCCATTTATCCCCTCAGGATCCCATAGGCCAGTGTGGAGGATTTATAGGGAGTCCACTAATCCTTTCCCAATCCTCCCTTCATAAAGGTGGATCCTAGTTCCCCTCTCCTTGAATATAGACCAGAGTTTTGGATGACTTGCTTCTAATGACAAAATGCAGCAGGAGTGATGTCATGTGACTTCTGAAAAGACACTGGAGCTTCTACCTTGCTCTCTCTGGAGTTATTCTCCCTGAGAGAAGCTGACGGCCATGTCATAAGGATGCTACAGCAGCCCTGTGAGAGCCCCACATTGGGAGCCATGGAGACCTCCCGGCAACAGCTGTTCCTGTGTGTCTAGGATAGTCCCAGGGTGCACACTCAAAGTCCCACAATTCAGGAAATCTCTTCTGCTAGTCCTGTGCAAGTGGAGACAAGTGAACACCCTAAAAGTTGGCACGAATTTGCCAGCCTCCTGAAGGAGCAACCTGGGACCCGGGTCCACCAACCCGGCCCAGCCTTCAAATGACCATAGCCATAGTCAACATTTTGCAGCTACTTCAGGAGAGACTCTGAGCCTAACAACACAGCTGAACCACTCCTGAGCCCTGACTTCCCGAAAGTGTACGACATCATAAAAATTGATTGTTTTAAGCCACTACGTTTGGGGATCATTTATTATACAGTAGTAGTTAAGTAATATACTCAGGAGTCTATCTCGTGGCTTGGTCTATGAATCAGCATTCGTGAGCCATGGATCTGGTCTTATTCTGTAAAGCAGCACTTTCTTTTTTTTCTTTTTTCTTTTTTTAAGATTTTATTTATTTATTTGACAGACAGAGATCACAAGTAGGCAGAGAGGCAGGCAGAGAGAGAGAAGAAGGGAAGCAGGCTCCCTGCTGAGCAGAGAGCTGGACACCAGGCTCGATCACAGAACCCTGGGATCATGACCTGAGCCGAAGGCAGAGACTTTAACCCACTGAGCCACCCAGGCACCCCAAAGCAGCACTTTCTAATAGAACTTTTATTTTTTTCTTTTCAAAGACGCCATTTATTTGAGAAAGAGACAGAGATAGTGAGAGAGAGCAAGAGCAGGGAGGAGAAAGAGAAGCAGACTCCCCGCTGAGCAGGGAGCCTGAGGGGGGACTCAATCCCAGGACCCCAGGACCATGACCCAAGCCGAGGGCTGATGCGCAACCAACTGATCCACCCAGGTGTCCTCCAATAGAACTTTCTGCAGTGATGGGACAGTCATATATCCGTGCTTGTCCACTGATGGTCACTAGCTACCTGTGGCTACTAAGCATTAGACATGTGACTGACATGACTGAGGAACTGAATTTTTTTTTTAAGTTTTATTTATTTATTTGACAGAGAGATCACAAGTAGGTAGAGAGGCAGGCAGAGAGAGAGAGAAGAGGAAGCAGGCTCCCTGCTGAGCAGAGAGCCTGATTCGGGATTCGATCCCAG